ATATGAGTGCACACACAAGATAAATACATTCGAGCTTTCTATAGACAAAATATACATTTTCATATTCTGCACAATAGAAACTCCATTGTTTCATGTTCCATTTTAATATTTGCTTATAACTTTATAACAAAATATTTCTAGCCAAATTATATATTCCATTTTTTTTCTTATTTCCACTTATAAACTATGCTCCTGTAGTTTATCTGTTAAATCCTAAGACACTCTGTACAGACAATACTGATAATAAGATTTTCAGATTAAAGGGACAGTACAATGTCTCCACTTTACCATCAGACCTCTGAATCATCATTGAAAGATTAATAAAAGGATGAACAAAATTTGAAGGATGTACAAGAAAAATAGATATACAGTTAATAATGTTATTTGCATATAAAAATACCTGGAGATTCTTCTTCCTATGAAACACAATGCTCTTAGCCTTGACTTTTCTATCCTTGATGTCGACTTTATTACCACAAAGGACAATAGGTATGTTTTCACAGACACGGACCAGATCCCTATGCCAGTTGGGCACGTTTTTGTACGTTACTCTGGATGTAACATCAAACATGATAACGGCACACTGACCCTGAATGTAGTAGCCATCGCGAAGGCCACCAAATTTCTCTTGACCAGCCGTATCCCAGACGTTGAAGCGGATCGGTCCACGATTAGTGTGAAAGATCAACGGATGGACCTCGACTCCTAGAGTGGCAACATACTTCTTCTCAAATTCACCGGTCAAGTGCCGTTTGACGAAGGTGGTCTTGCCAGTACCACCGTCGCCGACCAGTACGCACTTGAAGGTGGGCATATCAGGTTCATTTGCCATTTTGACGATTAATTTTTCGTGAGCTCACTCAAAATCAGGAACACACAACTCTGCAATGCGAGAAATTACATTAGATAGACCTAGGATATATTTAGTGTTTGCAATTTTCCTTGTTTATTTGATAGACAAGAATAAACTATAAACTGATGCTTGTAGCGTGTTAGTGTGAAAATGGTATGCACCCCTAGTCTGATGATCGTGTTTAAACGAGTTCAAAAAAAAACACAGAGCAGTATGCACGCACGCGGCAAGGACTTTATGCGCAAAGACTCTGAGCAGCCGCTCTTCTACAGGAACGCTTGGGAGATCGATTGGGATGCGGTCCGAGAGGGAGAGGGAGGGAGAAAGGAGAGAAAGAGAAAAAGAGAGAGACGTGGTCGGGAAAACTAGCGATCTCGCGTTTGAAAAGAGACCGTGGAAAATCCGGTTATGCGACTATCAGGGATTTGCGCAATAACGATGCTCAACGAATATTTAGCGCCGCGGTGATCGACGACAAAAAGGATCGGAGCAAAAGACTTTTTTGGATCGTAGACCCGGTCTAATCGAAGGGAGACCGAGGGGGTTGCCTTACCGCGCCGGCGGGGAATGGCGCCCGGCGTATTGTGGTATTGTTCAGAATTTTCCCTCGCGATTTCTTTCAACGACCGGCTTGCCGCGACGCAACTTTTTCGCGCGTGACAATCGCAACAACATCGCTTCGTTGTTGTTACTTGCGTAGAGGTCAGACGGCGCGAAATTTCCCGGGTACGCGATGATGTACGTGAAAATGAACGGTAACACTTACCGTGCTGCACAGTCGTTATGGCTCACTATGGCGCTCCTCTGGGCGGTCAACTCAACGTATATCGTGCCTACCGTGGTCGAATGGAGGCGATGTCACTTTACTGATTCGTCAAATTGAAGGGGCGTAAAGACGATCGTTTGAAGGGTCGAGATCGACGGGAAAAAATCAAATTCGATTTTTCGCGTGTAGAAATTCTTCCAGCAGCACGTGATAACTTTGACGAACTGCACGATTTCACTCTCGACTGACGCAGGTTTGGTCAGCTCGCCGCTCGGGCTGCAGGAAACGCGGAAACGCGCGTAGTGACATCTGTATTTAGCGCAACCATGCGGTTGCTTCGAGACCTC